ACCATTCCACAGCCCTTCCTGCCGTTGAGCCCGAGTCCGGAAACCACTCTTCACACTGAATTTCTTCCAATCTTCTACACACACACACATACACACACACACACACACACACATATATTATTGATTTTTTACATAGAGGAAGAGAGAGGGATAGTTAGAAACATAGATGAGAGAGAATCATTGATCAGCTGCTCTTGCACACCCCCTACTGGGGATGTGCCCGCAACCAAGGTACATGCCTTTGACCGGAATCGAACCTGGGACCTTTTAGTTCGCAGGCTGACACTCTATCCATTGAGCCAAACCTGTCTTGGCTCTTCCAATCTTCTTAAAGATGTTTATATCATATCTAAAATTAAACTGGTCCTCATCTTGTTTTTCTTGTATAATTGCATTTATTGCTGTTTTGCTTAATACATCACAAAATAAGAACAACTGAGTGCTGCCCTGACCGGTGTGGCTCAGTGGATTAGAGTGTCGGCCTGCGGACTGAGGGGTCCCGGGTTCGATTCCGGTCAAGGGCATGTACCTTGGTTGCGGGCACATCCCCAGGTGGGGGCATGCAGGAGGCAGCAGATCGATGTTTCTCTCTCTCCCTCTCCCTTCCTCTCTGTAAAAAAATCAATAAAATATTTTAAAAAGAACAACTGAGTGCTAATAACCATTTACTTGAACTATTTGTATTCAGCATTCATTCAAATTACATTCTCTTTTAAGTTGAGGAAAACATTTATGAATATTGAAGATACTAATTGTTTACTGAGGTAGTTATCCATATATTTCTATAAAATATAAACATTTATATTTATCAACACTATTGGAAGGATTCTTGCTCGAAAAGATGAATATCCTTGAGTTGGGTTAACAGTCAATTTTTCTAAAAATAGTACTAGGTGTGGGAAGTGAAATGACTTGTTTAGGGCATTAGGTTACAGTCCACCTGGGCTTTCGCTGACCGGCCCTATGCTTTTAGTATAGATTTCTCTCCTTTAATAGTCCTTGGTAAGTATTTATTGGTAACAATATCTATAACATGATAGAACATCTGACATTGGAGAGGGTAACAGGCTGGCAGTTTTTGAATAATCTAAGCCGTAGGTCAAAGCTTAGCTTCTTGTCGGTCTTTTTAGTAGAACATCACGCACTTCAGCTAACACCCTGACCACTGAGGTTCTTCTGTGCCCAGAGGCACCCTGAGCCCCATTTTCCTTTAAAAGGGAAGGAAAGTTCTGGCTTAGAATGCCTGGGCACCCTGCATTCTTCCGCTGAGAAACCAGCTGGCCTGCTGCTTGGTATGTCTTGATGTTGCCAAATAGACTGGAAGGATTCGGAGAACAGGAAATAAACTTCTGGGAGATAAGACGAACTGTAGACCAGGCGAGAGAGGAAATGAGAATATGAATCCAAGGAAGCAGTAGCAGTATGGCTTTATTTTTAAACCCAGAATCATTGGAAAGATTTCTTCCCCTAATTTAGGGGAGCGATCCACTTAGGTTTATTGGTTAGAACTCACAGCAAAGAAGTAAGTGTGGGGGCGCTGTTTCTATTTATAGCTGCATCTCAGCTGGTCAGGAATTGCAAAAAGATGCGCTGGAGCCGGTGAACTTGCTGTTGATCTTAAAGCTACCACTGTGTTCTCCCAAGACCAAGAAATCTGTGAAGTTAGAAATGACTTTATATCTTACCTTTTCTCTTTAGTGTTTGTGACATGTTGTGGCTGTGCTGGCTGTTTTCATGAAGAAGAATTTGATTACTAATGTGAACCAAATATGCAGCCATTCCTGGATGTTAAAGCAAAAAGGCAAAAGTATAGAAACTGACTATCCTTTATGCTCTCAAATATGACACCTTTTCATCAGATACTATTTCATAAGGAAGGTCAGAGTACTTGAATAGCTTTCAATAACCTTTTATAGTTCATGTGTTAACACTTACCCATGGTCAGCAATGACTGTCATGTTATTGGCCATAGTTTGTCCTGTGCAGCCATTCTGGAGGCGGTCAGTGACTGGGCTTAAAGGCGGGCCTGTGGCTTAGGAACCAAATAGCATTGCAAGGCTCAGGCCAGATCATCCCTGGGCCTGGAAGAACTTTATACAGTTGGCTTTTATTGGCCATTTGGAAACTCTAAATTTTACGACACATTCAGTGCATTTAAAGACTTTTGTTGCTGTTTTGGTTTTACAGTTTTTAAAAAATTAGATCAGTAATTTAAATAGAGAATTTAAAAAACTAGAATCAAATAAATGAATCTGGATTTGCTGCCCCCATCCACCTGTGTTGAGGTCCTCCTGTGTATGTTCACAACTCTCTAATGGCAGATAGAGCACTGGATTGTGTCCATTTACTGAACTGAACTTGACAAGGACAAAGGTGGCTTAGCACCCAACAGTTTGTAATCGGCAGGTTGGCAGTGTTGGCTGTTGTTAAAATGCCTTTGGGAGTTTGAAAGCTGTTTCAATAACCTTTTATAGTTCTAAGATACAACTGGAGCCGAATCTGGTTTGGCTCAGTGGAAAAAGCATCAGCCTGTGGACTGAAGGGTCCCAGGTTCAATTCTGGTCAAGGGCATGTACCTTGGTTGCGGGTACATCCCCAGTAGGGGGTGTGCAAGAGGCAGCTGATCGATGGTTCTTTCTCAACGATGTTTCTAACTCTTTATCCTCTCTTCCTCTCTGTAAAAAATCAATAAAATATATATTTTTTACAAAAATACAACTGGATAAGGATAATAATTTCTAACTATGTATTACTCTTTGGAACAATATATTCAAAATTACTGTGTGTCAGTATTCCAAGATGATCAGGATTCTGTCTCTTTCCTCAGGCAGCACAGCTCAGTAGGGAGGGCATCTGTGCAGTGACAGTTGCCACCCTTACAGTGGGTGGTGTGAGTGCTGCACATGCAGAGCTGGGACCAGAGTGTGGTAGGCGCTCAGCAGAGGGGAGGCTGAATGGGCTGCTGGGAGCTGTCGGTCTGCATCCGTGGGAGTTGCCTATGGCGTGGGAACCATCAGCTAAGTTAGATGTGACTAGTGATTGCCATGTCTCGAAATTGCAACCTCACAGCTCTCTTTGATTTTTGAATTTTAAAAATATGTATAATTTTATTGATTTCAGAGAGGAAGGGAAAAGGAAAGAGAAATAGAAACATCAATGATGACAGAGAATCATTGATCAGCTGCCTCCTGAAAGTCTCACGCTGGGGATTAAGCTTGCAAACTGGGCCTGTGCCCTGACCGGGAATTGAACTGTGACCTCCTGGTTCAGAGATGTTTTGTTTTGTTTTGTTTTGTTTTGTTTTGTTTTGTTTTTAAAGCAACAGCATCCTTACATTTTGAGTGGGTAAGAATTTCCTCTTGGAAAATTTGAGGATTTTATCATGCATCTTTTTTTATGCATTTTATAACTAATGCCAATGCCATTAGTTATGGGGCTGCTTCCACTCTGTGATGCCTTGCACACAAACCCCAGGACTAAAAACAGGTGTGCCCATGTACAACTTGGAGAAGTGACTGGGCTTCTGTGTTGGTCTGTGTTTTCGACACAGATGGCGTGAGGAGGTCCTTGACAATCTGTCATTGCACAGTTGACCCTCAAACAACATGGGCTTGAACTGTATGGGTCCACTTACATGTGGCTGTTTTTCAATAAATACGTGTCAGCCCTCTATGTCCCCAGGTTTTGCATCCACCACCTGCAGGCGCAGATGGCCAATTGCATGCATTGATCTGTGCCATTTTATATGGCGGCCTTGAGCATCCTCGGATTTTGGTATTTATAGCAGTCCTGGAACCAGTCCCTCATAGAAGCTGGTGGATAGCTGCAATTAAGTTTTGGAGGAATTAAAAGGTGTAGGTGGATTTTTTTTATGTGAGTGGGGTCAGTGGCCTTAGCAAGGGTCAATTGTATACATTAGAATTTGGAAACCATTTACACAGGTGCCACACGTTCATGAGGGTAGTTCAGTGGTCAGCAAAAACTATGGCTTGCGAGCGGGGTAATTCGTTTATTAGGCACAAAGCCCTGGGAAGAGACGGGATCCAAAGCTTCCTTATGAACATCAGGTGTGCTCTTGCCAGTTAATGATAGTCCTACTCTGACAGGCACACCTCAGTGTATATTCACGTATTTGTGGATGTTGTGGCTCCCAGCTGGACTTTTCCCAAGAGCGGAGCCTGGTCTTCTCCAGCTTCGTATTGGTCACAGCATCTCATAGCAGGAACCTTAAGTATGAGCTGAATGTCTGATCTGATGACTTAGTTTGACATGATTGCTAACATGGGCTGGTGAGGTGACACTCGGAGAACCTTCACACAGTGATCGTGGGGAGCCGGTCTCATGGCTCCTGGGCTCCTCCATAGGCCTGTGTCCTCAGAGGTTTCACTGGACTCTACGAGGGCTGCCCCACGCATTCTCTTGATTCCACAGACCACCTTCAAGAGGCTCTGCGGTTTAGATGGCGTGATAGCTGAGAAAGATCAAAGTCATTTCCAAATTAGCCATGTTTAGATGCTGAACTATTTGTAAATAAAATCTAGAAAATGTATGGAGAATTTCATATTGGGAGGAAAATGACATTAAATAGGTTTCACCTTGCCTCTTACTGCACTAAAAAATAATACTCTGATTCAAATACACAATATAGTCCATGAAAATGGTTCCCCTCATACAGTCCTGTCAGGTGAAAGATCCTTGCATCCCTGAGAGGCATGGCAGAGTCAGATGGCCTCTGGGCCCATTTCCTGGGTGGGCATTTCCATGCCGCACTGATCCCTGGCTCAGGTGTCTGCTGTTTCCTGGGAAGCCCTTTGGGTCTGGCTCCCTGTGACTGCCATGTGCGGACTCTGGCCTGACCCCTCCGCTCATCCCCACAGCCTCCCCAGGCTTTTCCTTTGGCCATCCACTCTGTTTAATTCTGGAGTTTGATCTCTTTGTAGGTGTAGTCCTGGCCCACTGGTTCATTCCCTGTGGTAACTATCTTCTTGGCTGTTTTCTAGGTTGTGCTGGTGAGGTGGAATGAGCCATACCAGAAGCTGGCCACGTGTGACGCAGATGGAGGGATATTTGTGTGGATTCAGTACGAAGGAAGATGGTCTGTGGAGCTGGTCAACGACCGAGGGGCTCAGGTGAGTGGTGGAAGCTCTTTCAGGGAAAGACTACTGGAGAGACAACAGGGTCCTGCGTCCCAGGCAAATGGAAACTCTTTTCAGAAATGGGTGGAGTAGAAACACATAAAACTAGAACCCTGCTTTTCATATTTGTGTGTATGTACTTCCACTGTGCTGTTCTTGTGAGAACGCTCTGAGTCTTCAGGCTTTAATTAAATCTGTGAAATCACTTTCACATTCAGTGTTGTGATCGCACGTTAAACTTGGGTCCTCGGAAGTACTCTGGCATATCACTTTTTTGCTCCCTTTCACAAGGTATTTTCCTGTGCTGTAATCTTCCTGGTTATCTCACAGGGAGCTCCACATGACTGTTTCTCACAACCCACTCACCAAACTGAGTTGTCAACACCCTTCTCTCAGATTGCAGTGAGTGTGGCTGCCGGTTGTCCTCCTCAGCTCTTCCTTCCTGGTAGAAATTTGTCTCCCCGGAGGAAAGCAACTGCTCCAGGGATGCCCTGCCGGGCTGTGCTATTTTTTTAAAAAAATAAATTTTTATTGTTCATATTATTACAAATGTTCTCCCCGCATTGCTCTCCTCCACCAGGTTCCCACCCCACCCTCTGCCCTTTCCCCACCCCCCATTGTCCTCATCCATAGGTGCCCAGTTTATGTTCAGTCTCTTCCCACATCTCCCTCTTCCCTTTCCCCAAGAATGGTCAGTTCACTCCCCTTCCATACCTCTGATTCTATTATATTCACCAGTTAATATTGTTCATCAGATTTTCTAAAAAAATTTCCTTGGTTTTTAGATTCACTTGTTGATAGTTACGTATTTGTTGTTCATAATTTTTATTTTTATTTACTTTCTCTTCCGAAAGAACCCCCGTCAGCAATTCATATAATTCTGGTTTGGTGGTGATGAACTCCTTTAGCTTTTTTTTTCAGTGAAGCTCTTTATCCGACCTTCGATTCTGAGTGATAGCTTTGTTGGATAGATTATCTTTGGCTGTAGGTTCTTACTATTCATCATCTTGAATATTTCTTGCCATTCCCGCCTGGCCTGCATGGTTTCTGTTGAGAAATCAGCTGACAATCATATAGGTGCTCCTTTATAGGTAACTACCTGCTTTGCTCTTGCTGTTTTTAATATTCTTTCTTTGTCTTTTGCTCTTGGAATTTTAATTATGATTTGTCTTGGTGTGGTCCTCTTTGGATTCCTTTTGTTTGGAGTTCTGTGCGCTTCCTGGACTTGTAAGTCTAATTCTTTCACCAGGTGGGGGAAGTTTTCTGTCACTATTTCTTTAGTATGTTTTCGATATCTTGCTCTCATCTTCTCACCCCCATAATTCTGATGTTGGTTCGCTTGAAATTGTCCCAGAGGTTTCTTACATTATCTTCAATTTTCTGGATTCTCTTGCCGCCTTATTTCTGCAGAGGAGTGTCTTCTGGCTCTTTATGTTCCAAATCTTTTGATTCTTGCGATCTTCCATTCTGGTTTTAGGACTCTGTATAATATGTTTTATTTCAGACAATGTATTCTTTATTTCTTGTTGATCCCTTATCATTTCTTGTTGATTCCTTATTCTAGTTGATCCCTTTTCATATCCTCATAGGTCTTATCGATCTTTTCTAGGAAATTCTTGAAAAACCTTATAAGCGTAGATTTGAACTTTATATCCAGTCGCTTTTTGTCCTCCATTTCTTTCATTTGTGATCTATTTTGTCTCGGCATTTTCACAGCTTCCCTGATGGGGTGGGGTTTCAGGGTGGAGCCTAAAGCTTTGGCTTCCGTCAGTCCCGCCCTATGCGGGTCCTGAGTCTCAGGGTACTTCAGTACTCGTTGCAAACGCCTCTGAGAAAAAGGTGCCCTTGATTTTTGCCTGCTACCAAACAGTCTAGGCTCTCCCCCAATGAGCCTGGTATTGGGGTTCAGTTCAGTTGGAAATGGGGTTGGAGGTGGCATTCAGAGCAGTTTGGAGCCCCTGTCTCCTTCCTGCCAGGGCAATCCCAAGGCACAGCCAACCGTCCCTTCTCTGCGCGCAATGTGCACGCCTCCGGGACCTCCTCTCGCTGCTCCCCCGGGGTTCCGCTTTATAGCCCAGCTCCCTCTGTTTGAGCTTGGGTCCCTGGGGTCTGGCCTAGAACTGGGGTTCAGAGCAGTCGGAACTGGGGCCCAGCACAGTCAGAGCTTTTATCTCCTTCCCGCTAGGGAACACCAGCCAGGCACTCAGCCGCCCCTCCTCTCCGGCTCTGTCCTCTCCGTGCGCGCCATGTGTCTCCGTACCTTAGGCTTTTACAGCTCCTCCACTCTTCCTTCTGGTTTTCTCCTTGCTTCTTGTTGTAGAATTTCCAGTCAGTTGACTATCCTGTAGTTCTGGATAATGTCCATTTTATATTTTAGTTGTATTTTATTGAAATTGTTGTGTGCGGCTGCGGCTAGGTGTTTACCTGTGCAGCCATCTTGGATTCTCCCGAGCTGTGCAATTTTTGAACCACTTCATAGATTCTTCTGACTTAAGGAGCAGCTCTGCCCTTCCTCCCCTGTATAACAGGATATTGTAAAAATCAAGTTACAATATTTTTATTAAAACGTTTCTTACATATCGTTATATTGTCTGGGCTGCAAAAATACTTGTTGTGGGTCGCATGCTGTCCGTGAGCCACAAGTTTGATATGCTTGGACTATATGGTTTAGCCCTCTTTTAAGATGTTTTTCCTCTTAGCACAGTATTTTCCAAGATAAATGAGTTAAAATGCATGTAAAGAAAAACATTATCTTTGCAAAATGAAAGGACTTTCAAATATTACTGCAGATTGGATTGGACTTCATGAAAATGTAAAACTTACACTTTGGAAGATACCACTAAGAAGATAAAAAGGCAAACCACAGAGTGGAGAAATTTTTGCCATAAACGATTCTGATAAAAGATTGTATTTAAACTTTTTACAGCATAATAGGAAGACCAACTTCTTGATATAATATGATTAGGTGAATGGGAATACATATATATAAATACATGTATATGGCAAGGGATTTGAACAGACATGTTCCAAAAGATGATATACAAATGATCAATAAGCACGTGAAATCATGTCATTGGGGAAATGCAAATTAAAACACAATGTCATACCACTGCACAGCTACTAATAAAGCGAAAATAAACCGACAACATGAAGTGTTGGTGAGGTATGGAACTGTTAGTACTCTCATATACTGCTGATGGGGGGTGTAAGTGGTGTTACCACTTTGGAAAACAGTTTGGTAGTTTCTTATGCAGTTAAACATACACGTGACCATATGAACAAGCAATTAATTTTACTACTAGATATTTACCAAAGGGAAATGGAACCATGTGTCTACAGAAGGTCTTGCCCATTTTGGTTATCCCATCAGTGCCTATTTTCTCTGTAAAATGACCATGATGATACTTCCCACTGGTGGACTTTATGATGTTTATTAACATCTGTGAAGCACTCAGCACCACACTGACACATACTTTTCAAATAATGTCTTTTACATTATGTAATATTGATATAATACACATATTATATACTAGAGCCCCAGTGCACAAAATTCGTGCATTGGAGGGGGTTGTCCCTCAGCCCAGCCTGCACCCTCTCCAATCTGGGACCCCTCAGGGGATGTCCAACTGCTGGTTTAGGCTCAATCCCTGTGGGACTGTTGGCTCCCAGCTGCTTGCCTGCCTGCCTGCCTGATTGCTCCTAACTTCTTCTGCTTGCCAGCCTGATCACTCCCTAACCACTCCCCTGCCAGCCTTATTGAGGCCTAATTGCTCCCCTGCAGGCCCAATTGCCCCCAACTTCCCTCCCCTGCTGGCCTGGTTGCCCCTAACTGCCCACCCTGGTTGCCCTCAACTGCCCTCCCTTGCAGGCCTGGTCACCCCCAACTACCCTTCCTTGCAGACCTGGTCCTCCCCTTCTCCCCCTCCCAACTGCCCTGCCTCCCCTGCTGGCCTGGTCACCCCTAACTGCCCTCCCTTGCTGGCCTAATTCCCCACAACTGCCCTCCTCTGCCACCCATCTTTTGGCGGCCATCTTGTACAAGGGCATGATGGTCAGTTTGCACACTACCTCTTTATTATATAAGACTAGAGGCCCAGAGCATGAATTCATGCATTGGTGGGTTCCAGCCGGCCTGCCCCAATCAGGCCATTCAGGGAAAGGGGACGCAGGAGATTGGCCAGCCAGCCCCACCCCCTGGTCAAACTCCTGGTCAAGGGGACAATTTGCATACTAACTAGTCTTTTATTATATAGGATATTTATATTGTTCTCTTTAAAGCCACCTTGTTCTTAGCCAAAAGCTAAGTTAAGAGCTACATCTAGGTCTTTGATGCAAGTGCTTTCCATTCAAGATTACACATTGACCACTTTTCTCTGTGTGTGTCTCAAAGGTGAGTGACTTCACGTGGAGCCACGATGGAACGCAAGCACTTATTTCCTATCGAGATGGATTTGTCCTGGTCGGCTCTGTCAGCGGACAAAGACACTGGTCATCTGAGATCAACCTGGAAAGTCAGATCACATGTGGCATCTGGACTCCTGATGACCAACAGGTAATGCATCTGGAATATAGGTGTGTAATGTTAAAACCATGAGCGCTGAGGAGGAAATGAGTTAAAAATTATCACACAAGGAAAAAAGGCTGGGGCTAGAGGAGTTTGCTGCAAAGCTTCTTAAAAAATCACAAAGGAAAAGAACAATGACGGTGTCCAGGTAAATATTAAAACAAAAATTTGAAATGAACCATAGATTGGAGAAATAATATTTCCCACCAACGTGGTAAACATTGGGTAAATATTTTAATTACAGAAAATGTTGACACAAATTTAGTTTTAAATCTACATAAGTAGCAAATTAATAAATGGATAATGGACATAAATAGTTATTTACCAAAAAAAGTTCAACTAGTCAATAATCATGGTGGAAAATTATTCTAAGGGAAAAAATGCAAAATAGCATAATGAGGACATTTTCACTTTTAACAAAAGTAGTAATAAACTGATACAAAAGATTTTACTGATTATTGATAAGAGTACAATCAAATAAGTATTCTCATTCATTGCTAGTAATAACATGTATTAGACGTTTGAAGAAGCATTTTAGTGTATAGTATGTCAAAAATATTAAAAATTATCAACCATTTTGACCTGGTAATATACTTTAGGAACCTATCTAAAATAAAGGGAAGCCCTGGCTGGTGTTGCTTGTGGTTAGAACTTCAGGTTGCACACCAAAAGGTTCTTGTTTTCAAGGGCCTAGATTGCAGTACTTCTTTGGTTTTGTCTGTTTTTCTTTAAGTGTCAGGGACTAATAAATTGACCACCACTTCTGAGGGAAAACAGTTTCAACCTTTTTTTTCCCCCCTCTCTTCATATTTATTTATTCATTTCTTTTAAATTAGGGCATTATATGTGTACATATCTTACCATTGGCCCCTCCCCCACTCCCATACATGCCCTCAACCCCCAGAGTTTTGCGTCCATTGGTTATGCTTATATGCATGCATACAAGTCTTTGGTTGATCTCTTATCTCCCCCACCTCTTCCTAACCTTTCTGCTGTAATTTGACATACTGTTTGATGTTTTACTGCCTCTGTATCTATCTTTTTGTTCAACAGTTTATAATTTTCTTTATTATCCATAAATGAGTGAGATCATGTGGTATTTTTTTTTCATTGACTGGCTTATTTCACTTAGCATGATGTTCTCCAAATCCATCCAGGTTGCTTTCAGTCATTAAAATGTGGATCATGTTTAAAGAAATATTTGGTTGTAATTGATTTATCCTAATAGTCCTGTAAAATCTGTGAGCTCATTACTACTTAAATGAATTATAAGGGGAATCGAGGTTCCCCGAATGACATCCGGCTGGATGGCAGCACTGTCAGGGAGCTGCCAGCCCTGGTGAGATACTCTTGCACGGCCCTGATGGGGGCGGGGATAACTCCATCCCCCCTTCCTCTGCCTGCCTCTGCTCCAGCTGTGCCATGTGCCCGTCCCATCCCCCAGCAGGCCCTGAGCATATGCTCCCAGACCTGGCCACCTGGGGGAGTTCCCTAGGGCCAACCTCAGCAACTGGAGGTCTCGGCCCATCCAGCTACATCCCAGCAGTGCTGGTCCTTCACTCACAGGAGTGTTCTGACCGTGACGAGGGCAGCTTTAATGTAGTGCTTATCACAAAGCCAGCACTCAGTGAAGGTAATAACACTATTAATACTTTATAACATTAATTAACTAACACCATTCTTATTCACAGTGAAATAAAACTGACAAACTATTTCAGGAACATCTTTTCCACATATGATTAGGTAACATGCTTACATAACCAGGTATATTTTCTCTAGGTCAAACATACACCAAAGTCTGTCTTCTAAATTTGATAAATTCTTAACAATGAACCTCTGCTGCTGCTTTATTTTCCAGAAAAATAAGTGCATATAATCCTCTTAACCCTCTTCCTTCAACACAGAAAACAAAGCAACCCACAAAAAGTGAGACCAGGATTTGCTCATATTATTTGATAATGTCCACACAATGCAATGAATATATTGATTGTGCTGCTGGTCACATTTCAATATTAGATGATTCAAGTTTTTGCAGTAACAGCTAAATGTTCACTCCTTAATGCTTGTGTATCCCCTCAGTTGCTTAACTGGTCTGTGTTTTTATTCCATATATACTTTGTCCTTCTAAACAATTTGGGGTGATGAGGTGTGTGGGACACAGAGGCCTTCCCTCCGTCCATCAGCAGCCTGGTACTCACTTGCAGGTGCTGTTCGGCACGGCCGACGGGCAGGTGATCGTCATGGACTGCCACGGCAGGATGCTGGCGCACGTCCTCCTGCACGAGTCCGACGGCATCATCAGCATGGCCTGGAACTACCCTACCTTCCTGGTGGAGGACAGCAGCGAGAGCGACACGGACTCCGACGACTACTCTCCGCCCCAAGGTAGCACGCTGCTCCCCAGGGACCGGCGAACAGAGGGAATGAACCCCTTTGGAGGCAGAGAGGGAAAGGTCTGCCGCAGGCACAGCGCCCTGACTTGTTGGGAAGAGTTCATGAACCAAATTGCAAAGCCCAGTCTGTGTTCTCGATTTGACTGTCTTCTCTCTGCCACCCCGTCTCACTATCACTGGTCAGGTTGATGAAACCCCGTTGGCATAGGTTTCCTGCACATAAAATGCTCTCACTTTCTCTGCTTCCGTTCCCGGAAGTGGATGTTATGCTTCCCAGAGAAAATGCATACACATACCTGTGAATGTGTGTGTTGTTTATTTTATGAGAAGACAATGTTTACACATAAAAAAATTAAGATCAGTGCTGGTGTTTCGGGTAGATAGGTCTTGAGGGAGAGTGTTCTTAGCACCAACAGGTGCACTTGGGAAGTAACTGCCCCAGGTTCTCTGCAAAGCACCCTCTGCGGACCTCGTCGTTTGGAGTGGTGTAGAATGGTGCTTTCTGTAGCGGTATCCTACGCCAGAGTCCGGCCTGCACTGCCAGGCGGTTTTCAAGACCCTCCACAAGACTGCAGCGTTGTGGCCCTGGATTATGTCATGTGTCCTTGTCTCTTTTTCACTCAGCACTTTTGTCCCCACAGATGGCCCCGTAACATATCCCGTCCCCGTGCAGCATATCAGGCCACTGCTCACCGTCAGCTTCACCTCAGGGGACATCAGCCTAATGAACAGCTACGATGACTTGTCTCCTACTGTCATCCGCTCAGGACTGAAAGGTACTGCATTCGACCGTAGGCCCTGGGATTCGTTTTCCAGGCTGGGTGTCCTACACCCCGCACTTGTTGATTCTTGTCCCCTGCAGTGACCTCTTTCTGACTAGGGAGTCTGTTAGAGGCCATTTCCTTTCTCTTTTCTACTTGGCTGACAAGTCGCTGCCTGGTCTTGCCTAGAAGAGGGATTCCTGACCTCAGGCTTCATCGTCACCTGCTCTTCTCCCTCTTCTCCCACTATGGCCCTCACTCTGTGTGCTGTGTTTGTCTCTGGCTGGCACTGTGTCTGCGGAGTAGTGGAGGGCAGCACCTGCTGTTCTTGAGGTAGCAGATGGTGCATGAGACACATTTACACAGAAGCCCCTGTGTTTTAATGCTTATTAAAGCCTTAATGGTTGTGTAGTGAAGTTACCTTGGATGTATTATTTTGTTCTCTGTTTATCCGACAAGATTGTATTGGAGCAGCATCCACAACACATTCCCACCAATTTGCAGATTAGAGACACGTGTGACTCGGGGGGCTGACCCATAATAGCCCTCCCAGATGAGAATTTTTTTTGACTAGAGTTTTATTCTAACTCCCATCTTAGATCCACATGGTATTTTTCTGTTACTGTCTCAAATAAATACAACCAGAGTACTCCCAGTGAAGAAAGGTGACTTGTGATATTCTTTAGCTTATCACCAGCACAGTGATTGTCAAATGGAAAGAACTTAGAGTGTCTGCAGCCAGCCTGCATCCTCATCACCTAGCACCTGTTTCTGCATTGCAGACTCATTTGTGTGTACATAGGGGCAGGAGTGATTTTGTTTTTGCAAATGTTTCCCAAGCAAGCTGTGCCTTGAAGAAAGATCTGAGAATCCCAAGTTTGGGACTTATTTATTTTTTTTATCACACAGTGAACCATAAATTGGTTCACCTTATTTGGAGTGTTTACTCTTTGTTGTGACTTTTACTCTTTCTTGAGGATGTAGGGGAGGAAAAACATTTCCTTCTGCCCATCTGAGGTTCTGCAGCTGGGGCCCTGTAAACTAGACCGGCCAAAGACAAATTGACAAGAGAAAAAAGCAAGCAGAAATGTATCACCTCAGGCATTGGCCTTACCCATGAAAGCACTCAATGAGTAACGCGGGGTGGTTAGAATGTGGAATTGTACAGCATGTTAACAAAGAAGCAATACATCTTAGAGAAATGATAAAACCAAGTTAAAAGACTAAGCTTCTAAGGCAGCAAATTGTGGGAACTAATTGACGGTAAGAGCTAGTTCATAAATTTGTCTTATAGATTCATCTATTATCTTTTCTGGGTTGATAATGGTCTAAATTGCCTCCAATGATTAATTTATGTTCTTCCTAGTGGGAGTCATACACGTTTACAAATTTGTCCTGCTTCTATACAATTATGGGGAGCAGAGAGCTTGTCTTGTATCTTATTTCTTCTCAAAATAATCCTTATGCCAGTAAGGCATATTTTGGATGTTGCATTCTGCTACCAACCAAAAAAATAATAATAATAACTTAGCCAGGAGTTCAAAAATTTAAGAGCATGTCTCACTTTACCCCACATTGCCTTAAAATAAAGGAATTCAAATTCATATTGTTTTGTTTTTCTGTTTTATAGAATTTTCTCTTTTTAACATTTCTTTGAGCACACAATGGCCCTATTATTGTGAAACTTACTCCTTTTAAAAGATTGACTTGTCATTATAGAGTATAACTGTCTCAGGATAACTTTATAACTGTGTCTAAGGCACTCAATTAAGATTCAGGAGGCTTTGTCTAGAAGTAAATAACAAAGACTTATGCGAGGGTCATAGAGTTCGCAGAGAAAACACAGCTAGGCAATGCCAGACCATTCCAATAGAGAGAGAAGCCGAGGGTTCTTTCAGTGCAGAGTGCATTCGTGAGAAGAGTCAGTCCTGCCTTCTTAGCCCTGCGTTGGTCCAAGATGGTAACTGTCAGATGTCCGGTGATCTGGACAGTGGATCAGTTTCTTCTTGAGGTCACTCAGATGATCTCTGAGGGTTTGGTGTATGTTCGGCCATAGACGCACAGTGAGCCAGGCGCATCCAGGCATTGACGCAGGACTGGACAGTCCCAAAGATTAAGACCCCAGGCTAGTCAAAGCAAGAATGGTGTCAGCATACTTTTTTGAATAATTTAGAGGCTTGACCATAGTGACTCCATATTCTTATTCACTCTATTCCTCAACTGCCCTGAAGAAATCCCTGCACATTTGCTTGTGAATATTTGGGCTCATTCTTTTACTTTTTAAATATATTTTATTGATTTTTTACAGAGGAAGGGAGAGGGATAGAAAGCTAGAAACATTGATCAGCTGCCTCCTGCACATCCCCTACTGGGGATGTGCCCACAACCAAGGTACATGCCCTTGACTGGAATCGAACCTGCGACCTTTCAGTCCGCAAGCTGACGCTCTATCCACTGAGCCAAACCAGTTTTGGCTAGGCTCATTCTTAACTCAAGACAGCTCCCACCTAGTAAACAAAATGTTTGAGACTCCCAAAGTGTCATAAGAGCCTGGAGTGCCCAGGGCCTGTCTTTGAGCAACCTCTGACTGTGACTGTGTCCAGGTCAGCCCTGTGGGAGCAACAACCTACTTTTCTGTTGGTAAAAGACAGAATGCCAAGAATGTTATTAACACGAATAAACAGCAAAAGGAATGGTGCCAGTACCCACTCACCCACTGGCCAAAGCGGGTCAGCTAGGAGCTGTGAGAATGAAGTGCTGGTATCTGTTTCTGTGGTGGTGCAGTGATGCTTCTGCCCTCGACAAGGGTGGACCTTATCTTTTTCTGGTTTTACCTGTTAGTGCTACTCCTTTTGACATCTTTGTGCTTACAAAGGAACCATCCAGAAAAGGGTGTTTCAGTTTCATTACCACAAGGCTCTTCACTGGAGCAATTGGGGCGTTTGGATCCAGAGCACACTGTGGTGTATGCACAAACCCTCTCGCTTCCCCTATCATCTTTTTAAAAATATATTCCCCAGGATATGTATTGATTCTCTAAAGTTATTTTTCATTTGTCCCACCTTATTCATATCCTCTTATATGAAAAGGGGGTGGGGAGGCTCCTTTTATTGATGCGCGCACTCTCTCTCAGGGTGTATTTTTTCACTTGGTGCTTGTCCGTAACTCCTTCCTCTCAGCTCTCTGCTGCCTCTGTCTCTGCTTTCTGTCTGTGGCTGACTTGACGAACGAGCTCTGGCTTCCCTGGGTCTGGAGAGGCCACTGTCTAGCCTTCAAGGGAAGTTAGTTTCTGCGTGACCTCAGGACGGCTGGTGCTAATGTCAGCATCAGTGCCCACATGAAAAGAGAGAGGCCGCGATCATGTGTGACTGTTAGCGCTTAGGCTGTTGCATTGTAGACCCAGCTCTTACCCACGTCCCTGTCCAGCCTCTGCAGAATGGGCCCCTGAGTTCCAGACTTCTGGGTCCTCTGTATAAGCCACAAATAGTCTTAGGGTCTTGGAAGAAAAGCTCTACTGTAAATCTCATTAGTACCAACAGCTTATTTCACCAGCAAGAAGTAGTAACTGGCTCACAACGGGATTAGACAAATCCTTTCATAGCCAATTCTGTAGGCACTGAAAGGCTGGTAGGAGGGCACCACATCTCCAGTGTGGACATTGTCTGACAACACTACCCCCTAACAGACTTACCTTCTTTCCTAAGCCCACAACATCGTCAGCTGTTGGGTAAGAGTTGGGGCCTTCATATGCAGATATGTTCTTTACCTGCACATTATCTGCCCGGGGTGCATAGAAATCAAATGAGTATAAAGTTAGACTTTGCCCTGATTTACTTTGTACTGTTAGCATTTATGACTTCTTTGAGTCATCTCTTGGTCGGGGCACAGCACTGGGAAAAGCACTTAGGATGTTCATCATAGGTTTTATTAGCTTGCCTGCTCTCCCAGAATTCTGCAAGTCCGGTTACGGAATTGCTGGCATTAGAGAGAGATATTTAGCATGCCAGCTTTGTCGTATATTTTCTTTAATTTCATTATCTTTTAGCTGTCATGTTTCACCTGTTATGTTTCCGCTTTTAAGCACCTGTTTTTTAATAGAGTCTGTTGTTTTCAGAGAAATAGGTAGCTAACGTCTTCATGAGAGAAAAGGGGAGAACCACTGTTGTATTTGTCAAGTGTCTCTTTTTTAAACTATTCAAGTGAAAGTTCGGGAGAGGCATGTTTCAGGCCATTCTTTTTGTGATTTCAGAGGTGGTGGCCCAGTGGTGCACACAGGGAGACCTTCTGGCAGTCGCTGGAATGGAACGGCAGACGCAGCTTGGTGACCTTCCCAACGGCCCTCTCCTGAAGAGTGCCATGGTCAAGTTCTACAATGTGCGCGGGGAACACATTTTCACACTGGACACACTTGTGCAAGTAAGGATTTGGGGGGGTGGGGGGGCATCCACTGTGTGCCCAGTCTGCATGAGAGAGTCATGAGTGGGTTATACTCACTGTCACTGTCTTTGACAGATTTTAATCCTTTGTTGGCTTTAATTAAATTATGGGTATGAACCAGGAAACATAGGGAGAAAGACATGTTTGCTTTTTAACCAAAATATTTTATTGCCCAGTCAAATGAATAGACAGTAAACAGAGTGACCTGGTGTTATCAGTCTGAAGTAGAAATCAGAAATGTGCAGAAATGGATGCTCAATCTTAATTTATTCACTCCAACTTTATGTTTGTTAAGTCAGTAATGTATTTTTATATTTCAACTAAGTTACTGTTAAACAGTGTTAAAAGCTTCAAGTTCTTTGAGAAGGTGCACAGGTGGGCCCCTTTCTGTCTGTTTTATGTTCCAGAAATCTTCAGACCATTCGGTCTGGTCTGGGTCAGTATGGCAGAGGATGATCCTCAGCAGGGTGGGCTGGACACAGAGCTGGGAGTGAGTTGATGATTGATGGGGGTGATAGTAACCTAGGGACTTAATGTCCTAACCTCACCCAGCTCATTAGAGAGGCAGGTATGCATATTGGGGTATTTTGTAATTAGATGCAGGCATTGATTATTTAAATTTATCTTTTAAAAAAATTATAATAAGATATATATAACATAAAATTTACCATCCTACCATTTTTAAGTGTATAGTTAGGTAGTGTGAAGTATATACCATTGTGGTCTAACCAATCTCTAGGACTTTTTCATCTTATAAAACTGAAACTTTATGCCATTCTGTTTCTATGCATTTGATTATTGTACATACCTCATATCAATGGAATCATATACTGTTTGTCTTTTTATGACTTTTTAAATTTTTAGTTAATATAACCTTTTCTCAAAGTTCACCCACGTTATAGCATATGCCAGAATTTTCTCTTTTTTTAAGGCTGAATAATATGTCATTACATATATGTGTGTTTATATACACCATGTTATACATTCATCCTTCGGTGGGCATTGGGTTTCTTCCACCTTTTAGCTATTTAGGTCTAATGCTGCTGTGACCAAGGAGATACAAATATAACTTGAAACATTGCTTTCAGTTCTTTTAAATAAATACCCAGGACACTTGCTGGATTATATGGTAGTTTTATTTCTAGATTTGGAGGAACTGTCATACTGTTTTTCATGGTGGCTGCACCAGTTTACATTGCACCAACAGTACCCAAAGGTTCTAGCTTCTCTACGTTCTTGCCAACACTTGTTATTTTCTGGTGTGTGTGTTGGCTGATCTTTCTTTGGAGAAAAGTATCTATACAGTGTCTTAGCATTTTAACAAATCAGTGATTCTTTTTTTTCATTTGAAGGTTTGTTTCAACCATTGAAAAAATTGCCTCAATAATATAAAGTTCAATATATGCTATTAAAAATCAAACACAATAATAATTTTATATAGTGCCAACTCTCTCTTTGCCTGGAATGATTCTGAAATCACGTTATCTGTGCTATGCTACTCATGGAGTCCAAAGGCAGGAACATTTTTATAGCAGGAAGGAAGTTGGGCTATTTATTGAACTGTTTATAAAAAGAATTTAATGCAGTTTAGATTGGACAATTTATTTCCAAGTTAATTAGATTGTAGGTTATTGCGTACAAAGCCGTTGCCAAGCACAAACTCACGCAGCCTCAGCTTTAAAATTGATTCTCCTGATTTACTCATAATAGCTCTGCCTGTGGCTGAAGCTCTTATAAGGAAATACGCTATAATTTATTTTCCTTCCCTTCCTACCTATTGTAATTTAAAATCCTATAATTGACCTCATTTTCTCTTACCTGCGACCATCTATAAATAATGGCATAGCTGGTCATCTGGCACAGGTTTTCAGAGTTAGCATTACTGACTGAAGCTCGCTGCCCGCAGCAGTTTGGGTCTGGGTTGTCAGTTGGTCAGTAGTTTTGTTTTGTTTTGTTTTAGCTTTATGAACTTTTTCTTGCATTAAAAGCAAGTGGGATTGTATTCTACAAGGTTCAATCATTGATGTAAGGTTTTTGGGTAAAAAATTTAAGAGAGAAGGAAAAGAAGATGGTAGGTGTGGGAACTGAAAAATCAAGTGAAAGATTGCATTTGTGCTCATAGACTTCTACACTCTTGAAGGAGAAACCTTTAGCAAAAGCATATTTGCGTCCTTTTGTTGAGGATTAGCTCTACCTATTCTCAGGAAACTGCTTCGTGTGCTTTTCCTTTTTGTTGTAAATGGATGAGAAAATCCTTCCCTGCTCATCTGCTTGCATAACACAATGGTGTGTTCTTCTGAAGCTCAGCTGGGGTGACTGAATCCTGAGCTAGCTTTTATTTCACTTGGTTGGTGGCCAAATCATCGTAACTTAATATTCAGAATGTCCACAGCTCCAGCCAACACAGTCACTGGTGACCAATCATCGGCTTAGTCCGTTTGAAGGTGAGCTCCTCTAAATAGCTTTCCTTTCTGACACTTCTGTACAGACATTGATCATCCCCGTCTACGGGGTCTGTGAAACATCTGAAGCGCATTTGCTCTTGAGCCAGTGTTCTCTCTCTTTGACCCTTTTTGTTGTCGACTTTAATCCAGCATGATCAGCTTAGCTTTAATACGGAGGGGACACCCTGCTTTGTACTTCTCTCACATTTCTAGAAGACTTCATCCAGTTCACCGCCGTATACAAACAGTAACAACAAATGGATCAGTGGACTCCCTCTGCCAAACAGCCCTGCTCTTGGCCTCGCCCTTACCTAGTCCCGTTTTCTTCGCAGCACTTTCCCCACCTGGCGTCACCCAGTCGTCCAGGCAGATACTCAGTTACTGTCCCTCCCCCCCACCTCAGAGGGTCAGTGCGCAAGGGCGGGATTTTACTTACTCTCACACCTGGAGTCTGTGTGGCCCATTGTGCACGGTACCAGGTCTTCACTGAAAAGCTGACTGGCCGCTCAGGAGCTGAATAAGTGACTGGGCAAATGCATGGCCTCTCTGTAGTGGCAGGAGGAAGGGTTCGGTCATACTTTGTGTGTCTTCGGATGCCCTAAGGGGTTGAAGCTGGCCCTTGACCTCACTGTTCCATCGTGTTGTGGCCGTAGAATAATGAGCCTACAGTCCTTTTAGATGGCTCAGCACTGACAATGAGGGAATACAGACACTTGGGGGCAGTGGTTTGTCTTTAAGATTAATCACAGTTTTGGTACTAACAGAACCTCTGTCCTGACCGGCACTTGTGGGGACTGGTGACACCAAAGAAAATTGACTGTGTTTTTTATGTGTCATCTGCCTTGTCTTCAGCAGTGAGTAACTTTGCTCTGAATTAACAGACCCCTCCATGGGCTTGTCCCTCTGGTGGGATCTTCTTGTAAGGAGGCCCTTCTTGGAAGTTTCTGGAAGTCCCAAACTTGAGTTCCAGGCTCCCTGGTCCTCCTCTGGTGCTGCAGCTGGCCTCTGTGATGGAAATGAAAGCTGAATTATCTTCAGCCAGTGGTTAGTTTTGAAGTTAAAACCTGGATTAGCTGACCCTGGGGACTATTTTAAGCAAGTGTTTTCCTGTGCTCTTTTTATCTTGCTGTTGTCACTAAAGTTGTAAAAATTCTGTTTCTATCTGTCATTCATATTAAAGATCTGGTATCCCCACTTCTCACCTTTGAGACCCACAAGACTTCATATAATCAGAACTCCATCTGCCTGGATGGAAAAAAGAGCAAATTTTCTTGTCTCTTCTCCATCACAGCCCTTCACCCCTCGATTTCTTCCTTGGCTGATCTTATTTAGACGGCACCCCCAGCTCTGAGTGTTTGCAGCACAAGCAGTTTCTACTTGCACATTTGGATGCCAGCCGGCCTTTTCCAAGCAAGTGATGGCCACCAACCCCTACGAGGCCACCACAGGACCTGCGTCCTCCTTCCCCTCCCCCTTCCGGCTAGCTCTCCACTTTCTCTCAGACCCATCAGCTGGAGGATGGCTGTGGATGACAGGGACTTCACGTGTGTGGGTGTGACCTACGAAAGGTCCCGGGAGCTCGCCGACATCTTTCATTCCTTTCATGCTCACAGCTCCCACTGGCTCGGGAGAGAGCAGACTTGCAGGGGTTATGTGGTGGCCTCCAGATCCAGTGTCAATATGTCTGTCCGGACAAAGGGGAAGGGCCATCGGGTCTACTCCTCACCACCTGCCCACGCCATGGGAACTGGACCACCAGCTACTTGGGGTCCAGATAATCAGAGCTTTAGTAAGGAGTATGTGTTGCTGTACCCCAAGCCTATTGCATCTTCTGGTAGAAATGTCGCTACTTTGGGTTTTAATGGCACTAAAGTAAGTGTGATAATATATGTTCAGGAACTTTGTAAAAATGATTCCAGTAATCTATCTATACTCTGGCCTGAGGATCTAACTTCTTTTCAGTGAAAGTACTGACTGTTCATAATACAGTATTGAGGATTCCCTGTTGTACTTTTTATTTTATTTATTTATTTATTTATTTATTTATTTATTTTAATATATATTTTATTGATTTTGTACAGAGAGGAAGGGAGAGAGATAGAGAGAAACATCAATGAGAGAGTCGTCATTGATCAGCTGCCTCTTGCACACCCTCTACTGGGGACATGCCTGCAACCAGGGTACATGTCCTTGACCGGAATTGAACCTGGGTCCCTTCAGTCCCTAAGCCGACGCTCTATCCATTGAGCCATACCGGTCTCGGCCCCTGTTGTACTTTTTAAAACAAATACTCTCATAACCTATTTGCTTGAGATAAGCATGCATGAGCTTTCTTTGCTTACAAGAGTGAAAGCTTATGCGTGGTTGCCCTTCACTTCCTGGCAGCGCCCCATCATCTCCATCTGCTGGGGCCACCGGGACTCTAGGCTGCTGATGGCTTCGGGACCGGCCCTGTACGTGGTGCGTGTGGAGCACCGGGTGTCCAGCCTGCAGCTGCTGTGCCAGCAGGCCATTGCCAGTGCGCTGCGAGAAGACAAGGACGTCAGCAAGCTGACCCTGCCCCCTCGCCTCTGCTCCTACCTCTCCTCCGCCTTCATCCCCACCATCAAGGTAGAGCCCTCCTCCCTCCGCCTACTCTACCCTCCACCTCCCTTCACTCTCCCCACCCCCACTTCCCTCCTCCTCACCCCTTCAGAGAGGGGGCAGAGACAGGAAGATGGCTGAGAGTGCCCGAGCAGCAGCACCGAAGTCAGGTCTGCCCCCCCAGGTCTGGGTGGGGAAGGGGTGTGGTTCTGCAGAGTTCCACCACATCCTCCCACATGTGCACCATCCTGAGTGCATCCACCAGACATCCGCCTCATGTGACGGACATCAGCTTTCTCATGGCAGAGGCAGTGCTCTGAGCTCCATGTCACCCTGTGATCAGCTGCCTCATTCATTCATGACTTCCTGGCAGATGTACGGTCATTCCCTTGAGAAAGCAGGAAACAGGTTCCTAAAAGTGGAGTAACTTCCTCCATAGCTCCTTAGGGGGATGGTGAGGATTGAGCCAGTCAGGGCTTAGGGCCTGCCATCCTCACCTGTGCTGAGGAGGAGCGACCCGCCCAGCACTCACTGCCCGTCTGTACTGGCTGTAATCCCAAAACCGCTCTGTTCTCAGTGAGAGTGTGTGGACTGTGTCCGCCCGGTGCCTTTCAGGCCTGGGTTGCCCCCTAACCGGAGGTTTCTTTCTGTGTTCCCTTTTTTGTATTCTGTCTCTGCTTCCAAGAAGGAGATTGACTCGTGGATTACATTTTTCCTGAAACATGAGAGCTTTAGAATCGGTTGTAATTTTTTTCTTTCAAGTTGCTTTGTAGCCTGCTCCTGAACCTGTAAGTCTCAACCTGGCTGCATATTGAAATTACCTGGGGAGTTTTTATAAAATATACATGCCCAGGCCCACTCCCTAGAAGTGCAGTTTCACTGTCTGAGCTGGGATCCTCAGGTGTGTGTTTTTAAAAGCTCCCAGCAGATCCTGACATCCACCCAGAGTTACCAGTCACCACTCCATGCCACATAGTTCACCCCAACTGGGCCACCAGGCAGTGTTCTGTCAGTCACCAGTGAGCCACACTCTCTCCCTGTTTTCTCTGCTGCCTTCAGCCCCCCATTCCAGACCCTAACAACATGCGAGACTTTGTCAGCTACCCGTCGGCCGGCAACGAGCGCCTGCACTGCACTATGAAGCGCACGGAGGATGACCCAGAGGTGGGAGGCCCATGCTACACGCTCTACCTGGAGTACATGGGCGGGCTCGTGCCCATCCTCAAGGGGCGGCGGATCAGCAAGCTGCGGCCGGAGTTTGTCATCATGGACCCCCGGACGGACAGCAAATCAGGTGGGTTCCCTCGCCGGAGGGACTGACGCCTCGTTGTCAGGTGTGGTTTCTGACAGCCCATGCAAAGAGAGTGCCCATTTGTGGAATGTGGGCTAGCGGACACATCCTCGGAGCCACTCCATTTCCAGATGCCTAAATGCCTGTGCAAGTTCATGACTGCACGTACTTTTTTCTTTTTCTTTCTTTCTTTTTTTTTTTTTTTTTAAATATATTTTATTGATTTTACACAGAGAGGAATTGAGAGGGACAGAGAATTAGAAATGTCAATGAGAGAGAAACATCAGCCAGCTGCCTCTTGCATTCCCCTCAGTGGGGATGTGCCCGCAACCAAGGTACATGCCCTTGACTGGAATCGAACCTGGGACCCTTCAGTCCCCAGGCCAACGTTCTATCCACTGAGCCAAACCGGTCCCGGCTGCACGTACTTTTTTCATGGGACTTTTAACCGCATGTCGAGCTTCATGTGATGGGGCCCTCAGAGAAGGGGACACTGGCACAGGGCTCTCCAGTGGGTAGTGATCATTGAGGGCCTCCGTGTGCTATTGAGACAGCCTGCTCGTCATAGCGAGGTGTGTCCCTGCCCCGCCTCACGTGAAGGAAAGAATTAAAATCCCCACACCTCCAGCTCCTCCCATCTCCTGCCACAGGGATCTCTGTCTCCCACTAATCTGGGAACTGCTTGTCACCAGTAACCAGGGAAAATTCCTTGCTGTTCATAAAGACCTGGTGTGGTGAGCACGGCTCCTGTCCTCTGTCCTCTGCAGCTGCAGAACCCTGTCCTCTGCAGCTGCATTGCTCAGTGATGTGCTCACAGTGCTCCCTGTACACCTGTTCCTGCGACTGCTTTGTGAGCTCTGACAGGACTTTTTTCTTTTTGTTTGTACTGACTATTCCTGCCCAGTGTCCTCAGCCAGTGCCTGTCGAGGCCTGAGCACCCCGTCAGCAGTACCTGCCAACCCAAACGTTCTGCCCCCTGACAGTAAACTCCGCTTCACTGTCCTGGGTGCCTGTCCCCCGTCAGTGTGGCTGCTGAGATCCCAAGAGGCACACAGTAGTCTTGTGGGGGCTCTGGAGGGCCTGGGGGGAGGAAACTGAGTCATCTCTGTATCCCCAGTGCCTGGCAAGCACCTGACCTTGGATAACAGGAATTAAATGAGGTCTGTTGGCATTAGTTTCACTCTGTTCTTTCCACGTCCTAGCTCCCATTCATCCTCTCTCCCATAGACTGGTTTGTGCCCGTCGTTACGTCCCTAAAGTCACTGTGACCTGCGGTATGGCCAGAGCTATCCTAGAGGCACAGGGCAATGGCTTTTCAACCTTGGCCTCACTTAATCACTCCAGTATTCAATTGTTTTGTGTGTTTTTTTCTTTTCACTCATGTGATGAACTAGTACCAAGAACAAGGAGAGCGAGTAGAATAAATGGGGGCTGGTAGGGAGGCAAGTGAAAAGGAGGGGAGGAAGGAAGCAAAGTGACAAAACCAAAAGGGCTGTGGGTGTGAATTTAGAAGAACATGTGATTTTTAGGGGATGGAGGAAGAAAGGAGCCGTTGATGGTTAGAGGTGACCGAAGGAAGATATCAGACATGAGCTTCCATCTATTTAGCAGTTTTGTGATGGCCCCACCTCTGTGCACTTCACCTTCTGCCTTGGGACCTCCAATCTTCTGCCTGGTAGCCAGTTTGCAGAGTTACCAAGTGGCTTCTATACAGGTACCCTCAGTGGAACCCAGAGCTACCCTGAAAGTCCAACTGCACAGGCTTCCCTGCAGCCATTGCAAACAGCTCCACCAGTTGGACAGCCTGGCCTCCACAGGCAACCTGGGGGCAAGGCCAGCAGACTGTTCTACAAGCCAGACATGGCGGCTCTGTCAGGTCTCCTTTCTGGAGAGCAGGCCCAGACCCAACAAGGGCTTTCCTAGATCCCAGGTCAGAAATAGGTTTGGGAGGGAGTCCAAGAGTCAGCAAGACCCTCACTCGGCTCTGGGCAGCCCACGAGTCCCTGACATTTTGGTGTGTCATAAGGACAACAGTGAAGCCATTTTGGTCTCAACTGTTGGCACAGTAAAGTACTGGACTATGCTGTACATTTCAGGGCATTAAAATACCGTGCCCATTTGATAAATGTAGAAGTAATTGCTTAGAAAATATCTACATCAATAAGAGAGTAAAATGCAAATTGACCATACCTTCATGACACCCGCCAGCCAATCAGGAGAGAGTATGGAAATTAACACAACAAAGATGGCAGGTTATTTTGCATATGCAGGTACCAAGTGGCCAGGGGCATCCCACACCGCCCCAGCCCCCGGGCCTCTGGGCAGCGTGGGAAGGCAGAAAGGCGGCTCTGGACCCGAGTGGAAAGGCGGCTCTGGCCGGAGCGAAGGCGGAGCCGGCAGCCAGGGGAGGACGGTCCATTCTTGCAGGAATCTTTGTGCGTCGGGCCTCTGGTAATAGCATAAAAATGTGAATAGCAGCAGTGCTCTGCTCCTTTCCATCTCACTCTCTGGACTTAAAATGATGGCCTGTCCTTTAGTTTCTAGTAATGATCATTGTTAGGGTCTCATGTCACTTCCCTTATACTTGCTGGTTGGTGTCTTACCAGATGAAATCTATGGGAACAGCTTGATTTCTACCATGATCGACAGCTGCAACTGCTCGGACTCAAGTGACATCGAACTAAGTGATGACTGGGCTACCAAGAAATCTCCCAAAATCTCCCAAGCAAGCAAATCACCCAAACTCCCAAGGTAATCTCTTCAGGGTGTTTACCTCTTTTCTGTGGCACTGGAGGTGTGTGTGTTGTGCCTGTAGTAGAATCCCATTGAAACCAACAACAGGAGAGCACAGAGACACCTGCACCCCCACATTCATCCGGAAGGTCAGCCTGCAATGGCTACAATTTCCCTTCTTCTGGACAGAAAAAGACACCCCATGGGAAGTTGGCTAAGCCCCAGGGCTTCTCTGGGGCAGTGCTGGTGGTGGGTGGTACAGGGTGGCCAGAGCCCCCAGGCATACAGTTTGAGAAAGTTAGGAAAAGGTGTTACAGTGTAGGTAATGTGTTGAGAAGATTGTTACATTCAATGTGTATAATGCTGTATAATGCTGAGCTATCACTCAGAATCGAAGGCCAGATAAAGAGCTTCACTAATAAAAAAAAGCTAAAGGAGTTCATCACCACCAACCACAATTATATGAATTGCTGAAGGGAGTTCTTTCAGAAGAGAAAGTAAATAAAGATAAAAATTATGAACAACAAATACGTAACTATCAACAAGTGAATCTAAAAATCAAGGAAATTAAAAAAACAACTGATGAACAAATTAACTATTGAATATAATAGAATCAGAGGTATGGAAGGGGAGTGAACTGACGATTCTTGGAAAGGGGAGGGAGGATATGAGAAGAGACTGAACATAAACTTTGCACCTATGAATGAGGACAATGGGGAGTGGGGAAAGGACAGAGGGTGGGATGGGAACCTGGTGGAGAAGAGCAATGGAGGCGGGGGGAGAAAGAGGAACATTTGTAATAATATGAACAATAAAGATTTATTTAAAAAAATAATGCTGTAATTAGAGGGAAATAGTAAAAAAAACTTTAGACCCTACAGTTTATTTTAAAAATTGGAACGAGCTGTAAGAGTAGATGGAAGGGCCCTGGTGTCACAGGTAAGAAGCAACACCTTTCTCATCCTGGCTTCACTGCCTGTGGGCTGTGTAAGTGTACAGATCCTGACTGGATACTCTTGTCATTCTCTGGAGAGGTTCATGGGTAGACAGATCTGCACTAAGACAGAGCCCTTCCAGCTTAAAAGTCTGGGATGCCGGGCAAGATTAAAGTACAGTTTGCATACAGATACATACCTGCCTAGACTGAAACACGGAATTCACTGTGCAGCTGGTTAGGCAGTGTTGTCCCCACCCTGGCCAAGCTAAAGGACATTCCGTCCTCGCCAGTGCTCCCCGTGCAGCCTCCCATTCCATCCCCGCTCCCCAGAAGAATCACTGTTCTGGCTTCTGTCCCCCGAGACTAGTTTTGCTTCTTGACCTTCACATAAATGGAGCCAATACGTACTCTTTTTTTTGACTCCTTTGCTCAGAATAATGATTTTGAGATTCACTTATGTTGTTGTGTCTAGTGGTAGTTTTTTTGTGCTGTGGAATTCCACTGTAATGAATTTGTTTACTCTGTTTACGAAGTCACAGGTTTGGTAGTTACAGTTTGGGGCTATGATGAATGATACCATGATAGAACTTGTACACGTATGTTGGTGGACAGGTGAATGCGTTCATCGGAGGCATGTGCTTAGAAGGGAAATTGCAGGGCCTTGGGGTAGCCGCGTGTGTACTGCACTGGAAACTGCCAGACAGTCTTCCGGGGCCTGTACTGTTGTGAGTTTCACAGCCAAGTACGAGAGTGCCCGCTGCTTTCCTTCTCACCTGCAATTGTATCGCCATTTTTAAAGATAGTTTTACCCTTTCTGGGTGGGGGGTGCAGCGGGATCTCATTGTAGTGTAATGATTGATGATGCTAAAAGGCTCTTTACATGTTTATTGGCCATTTGAGCATCTTCCTTTGTGAAGTGTCCAAGTCTTTGGCCCATTTTTTTATTGCATTGTTTTGCTTTTTTTGAGTTGGAAGATTCCTTATGTATGCTAGCCATGATTCTTTGTCAAACATGTGCACTGCCATGTAGTCTAATACACATGAATTTCTTCCATTGTGGTGGGTCGGTCTTTGCCCTGGTTCGGAGATCTGTGTCCATCGTGAGGGCGGTCTCTTCTCTTCCAGAAGCTGTGTAGTGTTAGCTCTCACGTGCATCTGAGGTTGATTCTGGTGCATAGTGTGAGTTAGAGGTCAGTGTTCACTTTTCCATTTGCTTCAGCAATTTGGTTGATTTTTTTTATTCTTTGTTCTAAGCTTGTTAAAATTATAAATTATGAACTTTCCTACACCTCTATGTGTTTTGGGTTTTCTTGTAACTTAAGCAGAGAGGACACTTAACAAAAAGTAACTAAATCCTTCATCTTTAAAGGACCTTTTAAGATTTCTGGATGTTGTCATCCCCATAGTCCGTCCTCCTCATTCCCTCTTTCCCTGCGTTGAATCCTCTACATGCAGCAGGCAGGCTAATCACCTCACACAGGCCTTCACCAGCTCAGTTCCAGTGCTCCCGTTCTGTGGAGTGCTGGTGTCTTATCAGGCTCAGTAGTAATGGAAAGCGTATGCTCTTCTTTCTTAGAATGTCATCAACCTCGCCTCATTCATTTTTATGATACTCTCTTTGGGTTAGACTGGCTGACCATGGGTGGAACATAGAATCAAAAGGCTGTAGAGCCCTGGCTGCAGATTTGGCTAGTGGATAGAGCAGCCACCCACAAGACTGGAGGGTCTTGGGTTTGATTCCTGCCAAGGATACATCCCCAGCCCCAGGTTAGGGTGCATGCGGGAGGCAACCAATCGATATGTCTCTCTAACACTGACGTTTCTCATTCTCTCCTCCCCTTCCTTTCCTCCCTCTCTCTAAAAATCAGTGGGAAAAAATATCCTCCAGTGAGGATTAGCAAAACAATAAAAGAAAAAAAGGGGGGGGGCTCAGAAAAACTTGAATTCCATTGAAATATTTGATTTAAACATTGCAGGCCTGCAATGCTAGGTCTATTGAAATCCAGTGTTGCATTAGGAATTGATCTACTCTCACTATCTTTTAAAATATGGATTATTCAGTATATAATTCTGTCCTACTTTTCTCCTGATCATGAAGCAAAAACAGGTGGGAGGGACTTGATTAAATCTCGGGGCCTGGCTCCTAAGAATGTGACTCACATGGGTGACTTGGAAGGTGAACGGGCCTGCCAGGAGTGTGGGTGCCTTTCGGCCAGCGTGGCGCATGCCTCCCGTGCTGTGGGTGCCTCACCCTCCCGCCTCGCCTCTGCAGGATCAACATCGAAGCTCGCAAGTCACCCAAGTTGTCCCGGGCTGCTCAGGAGATGTCCAGGTCCCCGAGGCTGCCGATGCGCAAGCCCTCCATTGGCTCGCCCAGCCTGACGCGAAGAGAGTTTCCCTTTGAAGACATCACTCAGGTAGTGTCTGCTTCCGGGTTGGTCATGTGTACCTGATGCACCACAGCTCTTTCCCCTCCCCAGCGTAGGCTCCATGATGGCTACCCCGCCCCATGCATGTCCCTACAACTCCAGACACCAGTTCAGAACATTAGAGCCTGTGTGTCCTTCTCACCGCCCTGCCCTCAGGCAGGCCCGTTACTTTTGCTCCACCTCCCACAGGGCATCCTTCAACCTTAGACACCTCCTCCCCTCACCCTCCCCCACAGGTGACAGTCACACCTGCCTCTCCCCACCTCTGTGCCTGTGCTGTGCCTTGGCCACTGGAAGCCTTCATTGACTGAAAAACGGATCATGGAATAGTTTCAGGAAGGTGTCAGGGCCACTGGTGTTTTTAGGAGAAACATCCAAGATTAAAAATGGGTTCAGAGCCAGATACCGTCTCTAGTTCAGGGACTGAGAAAGGAGAGGTGAAGGTGCATGTGCCCAGACCCACTGGCCTGTGATCGCTCACACGTGGACCGCTGAGTTTAAACGGGCTGGCGGCGGCGTTGGCTCTGCTCTCCACAGTGGTGGGCGAGGTGGGTGAGTGTTTCCTGGGAGCGCCTGGGCTTTCTGAGCAGTAAGTGTTAGCGTTCTTATCAATAGGAAATATGGCTCCAGGTGGTAAGTTTCTTCCCCTCTTTTCTTCCACAGCACAACTACCTTGCTCAGGTCACGTCTAATATCTGGGGAACCAAGTTTAAGATTGTGGGCTTGGCTGCTTTCCTGCCAACCAACCTCGGTGCAGGTAAAACCATGTCCTTTTTTGGCCCGCTGTCCTAGTTGAAACTCAAACTGAAAAAAACAGGTCAATTTTTGGCCTGAAGTAGAGAAAATGAGCTCACATGACATCAAACAATTAGCATGCATTGTACTCCAAACTTTGACTCCAGCTATTATGATGTCACAAAAAGTCAGAATAATCATTCAGATTGGTTTTTTGCCAGTGGTGCTTTCATTATTTAAAATATCACCCCTGCTCTGGCTGGTGTTCTCAGTGGTTAGAGTGCCAGCCTGTATTCCAAAGGATCTCAGGTTCAATTCCCAGTTAAGGGCAAGTACCTGGGTTGTAGATTCGATCCCTGCCCTCCATTAGGGTGCATGAGAGAGGCAACCAGTCAATGTGTGTCTCTCACATGGATGTTTTTCTCTCTCCCTCTCTTTCTCCCCTCCCTCCCACCCTTCCTTCCACTCTCTATTTTCTGCTGAGGATTAACAACAAAATCATCCCTAACTTATCAAAATGATAGAAATAGCTGACATCTCTATAAAAGATCTCATATTTTTTACAGATTTCCGTGTTTTTTTTTTAATTTTAGCCATTTGTTGGGGCAGGTTTTGGTGCCAGTATCTTTAGGTCCTTGAAGAAAGCAGTAGGCTAGAAGAAGAAGCTGGCTGACTGTGAGCACTTAGTGGTGAATCTTCGTAGATGTCATTTCTAAGTAACAAGTCAGTATCCTTTCAGAGGAACATGTGAATAATCCTGTAATGACCACTGGATGCAAAGTCATCTCCGCCAGCGCCAGGCCAAGCACCAGCCTTACAGAGGAACTCAAAGGCCTGCTCTGCCATGGCAATGCTGGCCGGTCAGCCTCTAGGCCATGACAAGTGATAGCAGTGGAGGTGGAACAAAAGAAAAAAAAACGAACCATGGTGGTGAATAGTAACTCATAGGAAAGAGTATTAAACATAAAGTAGCCGAAACCGGTTTGGCTCAGTGGATAGAGCGTTGGCCTGCAGACTTAAGGGTCCCAAGTTCGATTTCGGTCAAGGGTATGTATCTTGGTTGCCAGCACATTCCCAGTTAGGGGGTGTGCAGGAAGCAGCTGATCGATGTTTCTCTCTCATCGATGTTTCTAACTCACTCTTGCTCTCCCTTCCTCTCTGTAAAAAAATTAATAAAAATTTTTCAAAAACAAAAAACTTAAAGTTGACAGGCAGTTTATCTTGATTTTAACCTACAAATTATTTTTTTTAATGTATAGATTTAAGAGAGAGAAACATCGATTTGTTACTCCACCCATCCATGCATTTACTGGTTGACTCTGGTATGTGCCCTGACATGGGATTGAACCTGCATCCATATCAGGATGATGCTCCTACACCCAGCCAGGGCCAGGCTCATTATTTTTTAACTTCCTTTGTCTCCTCTAAATATTTTAGTTGCAATTTGGCTTTCTCTTAAATATCCCTGTTAATTAAATTAACCAGTGTTTAAAAAAATTATGTGGAAGTTCCTGATAAATGTCTGTACTGATCGTAAAATTGAAAGTTATTAAGACAAGTGCCCTGTTCTGAATGGAGGCAGCACCTTATTTCTGCCTGATGCATACCACCCCTATCATCCCAGAGCTGCTCTCAAACGGCTGCGTCCTGAGCTGGCAGCCTGGTCATCACAACTATTTTCACTGAATCATCTCTGTTTACAAGTAAGCTTTTTAAAAATATCTGTCATACCCCAGCTCACTCCCAAAAAAGAATTTAAGACTAAGATAGGGTTTTAACATTCTGAACGTGTGGCTCTATAGACAAACCATTGACAAAGTGGTTGGGCTAGACGAGTGGTCAGCAAACTCATTAGTCAACAGAGCCAAATATCAAAGTACAACGATTGAGATTTTTTTTTTGAGAGCCACATTTTTTAAACTTAAACTTTTTTTTGAAGCCACTTCTTCAAAATAGACTCGCCCAGGCCGTGGTATTTTGTGGAAGAGCCACACTCAAGGGGCCAAAGAGCCGCACGTGGCTTGCGAGCCTTTCTCTGGCTGTGACCCTGTTGGTCCTTGGCTGTTGTCCTTATGGCTCTCCTGCCTGTCTCCTCCTCCCCCAGTCATCTACAAAACCAGCCTCCTGCACCTGCAGCCGCGGCAGATGACCATCTATCTCCCGGAGGTCCGGAAGGTGTCCATGGACTACGTGAACCTGCCCGTCTTCAACCCCAACGTGTTCAGCGAGGACGAGGACGACCTACCAGGTGAGCTCGCACAGGACACCTGGCTGTCGGGAGCCCGCCCTCAGGGGGCTGTGGCAGGACAGAGGGTTGTTGCCTCACAACTTCTTTGGGAGCTTCTCGCTTCTCGTAGAATCTGAAAGCGGCCCCTTACTTGGAGGCAGAGCAGACTGTAGTCAGAGGCAGGCCACTCCATTGGGCCGGTGGCTGTTGCAATGGGCGAAGGAACTTATGTGGCTTCCCTTGGGCGCTGTACGCTGGCAGGTTCCGCACCCACTGCCAGTCTTATGAAGAGGCCCTAACGGGGCCATCACACACACCATCCGACGTGCTCATTTCCAAATATCTATAGTGCTTCCTCTTGGGAGATCCTATTTTGGTTAATAAATTATAAGGATTTATAATTAGCCTGCCAATTATTTGTATGTACCTATTCTCAAAAAAAAAAAAAAAAATCCACCTTCAATTTTATAAATGCTGTAGAGACTCCTCTACATATGTCCAAGCAGGTTCTGAAAGTCTCTGGTTTCTGAGCCAGAAGGAACCCCACCTTCTCCGGATATTGTTCTCCAGCAGAGGGCGCCGGTCCCCGTGGCAGAGCCGAGAGGGACAGGCATCCCCAGCTGGGCTCTGACGCTGGGAAAGGGTTGCCCTTCCCTCAGCGCTGGCTTTTCTGTCAGTGAGTGACCGGTGCTGTCTGACAGGAGCCGTCTCGGACTGCAGCCACGGTCCCCTGCAGGGTGCGGAGGCCCCACAGCTGCGCTTCTGGCATGCCCCCTGCTGCTCCAGAGTGCGGGGTTAGAAGTCTCTCACAGTCTCCGCCCCGCCTCCCTGCTCTCATGCTCGGCCCTTTGTGCTACTGCGGTTCCCAGTGAGAGTAGGGAACATTTGTCTCAGGACTTGCACTTAATGCAGGTGCCACGGCAAAGAGACTCTGCTTTAGCAGGGACGATGCCCCCCCGCAGTGCTCCATGCAGATGGCAGAGCATCTGGAGGAGGGGTTTGAGAGGGACAATAGGAAACGAGACGGGACCCAGACCAGTGCAGCCAGGCGGGAGTTACATCTCACCAGAGAACTGCCTCGGGGAGGGGCCGTCTCTTACAGGAACCCAGGAGGGCTTAGCTTTTGATGAACTAAATGGCTGCATTCTGTAATTCTGGTGAAAGGTCAGCCAGTCTTTAACCCTTTAGATTCCATGGCCTGCTCATTCTGGTTGGCACACGGCACTCAGAGCGCCCAGATGAGCAGAGTTGCTCTCGGCCACTTTGGACAGGGCAGACAGATGGGGTCTCTGAGCCTGCCAGTGTCTGCTGGTCATGGCTCAAGTGTGTACCCTAAGTTCTCGCCACTGACAGATAGGATATAGTAACCCCAACCTTACATCTGTTTGAAATGCTGAACAGCAGAGAAGTTAGGAAATGAGCCTTCCCCTAATATGCAGATTTTCTGTGTCTTTTTATTGGTTTCTATACTCCACTTTACATGTTCTATTACAGGAACTTAATTTACATAGAAATTTCAGATACACGTCTGCTGTTTGCTACAGGCACATTCCACACTGACCAGTACATGCCCATGGAAAAACCTCCTCGATCATGCTGAGTCCAGAGCATCTGAAACAATTCCGTGTTTGCCATGTGCATGCGTGGTGCCAAAGGGGGAAGGTGGAAAGCTGACAGTGCCTTTAGCTAGTGGTGAGGACAGGCTGCCTGCAGGGCCTGCAGTGCCGGTGCCCGTCCCGAAGCACCAGAGAAGCTCATGTAACTGTGTGAACAGATCAGCTTTCCCCAGCACAAACATCTCGTCTGTGCAGCACAAACATCTTGTCTGTGCAGTGCCTTTTGTAGACAAGGCTGAATGAATTGGGTGGTGGTACTTACTGAGACCCAGTTTCATGGTGTACTCTGTAAGCAGCGTGTTTTCTCACTTCCCTCCAGTGACAGGAGCATCTGGCGTGCCTGAGAACAACCCGCCTTGTACCGTGAACATCCCTATCGCTCCCATCCACAGCTCGGCGCAAGCCATGTCCCCCACGCAGAGCATCGGGCTGGTGCAGTCCCTGCTGGCCAACCAGAACGTGCAGCTGGACGTCCTGACCAACCAGACCACGGCCATGGGGGCCACTGAGCACGCCAGTGAGAATGCCACCCCGTACCCGGTCCCCAACCGCTACTCCAGCCCGGGACAGGTGATCTTCGGGGGCGTAGAGATGGGCCGTCTCCTCCCGAACCCCCCGCAGCTGTCCCTGCTGCCGCCCACACAGGGGCCCGTGCAGCTGCCGGGGGAGCACGGAGACCGCGAGCACGAGCACCCGCAGAAGCCCGCCAAGGCGCTGCGGCCGCAGCTGGCCGCTGAGGGGGACGCCGTGGTGTTTGGTGCCCCCCAGGAGATCCAGGTGGCCAAGCTGAACCCCCCACCGCCTTACCCAGGCACCATCCCTGCCGCCCCCACCACTGCGCCGCCCCCACCCCCACCGCCGCCCCCGCAGCCTCCCGTGGACGTGTGCCTGAAGAAGGGCGACTTCTCGCTGTACCCCACGGCCGTGCACTACCAGCCGCCCCCGGGCTACGAGAGGATCACCACCTTCGACAGCAGCGGCAACGTGGAGGAGGTGTGCCGGCCCAGGACGCGGATGCTCTGCGCGCAGAGCACCTACACCCTCCCTGGCCCCGGCAGCTCGGCCACCCTGAGGCTCACGGCCACCGAGAAGAAGGTGCCGCAGCCCTGCACCAGCGCCACCCTGAACCGCCTGCACGTCCCCCGCTACTCCATCCCCCCCGGAGACCCGCCCCCCTACCCCGACCTGGCCGGCCCGCTGGTCTCCAGCCGGGTGGCGGCGCCGCGGCTGGACGGCGGCCTCATCCACGCCACGCTGCGCAGGAACAACCGCGACGTGGTGCTCAAGGCCGCGGCGCCCGCCGAGCCCCCGCGGCTCCACCCGCCCCTGCAGCACCCGCACCCGCACCCCGCCAAGCCCAAGGGCCCCGCACAGTTCCCCCTGCGGCCCCCCGCAGCCCTCTACACCTGCAGCCAGTGCAGCGCAGGGGGTGCGGCCGGCGCGGGGGGTGCGCAGGCGGCCAGCACCTCCCCGCTGGCCTCCCAGTCCTCCTACAGCCTCCTGGGCCCGCCCGAGGGCAACCGCGAGCGCACCGACTACGTCAACTCGGCCTTCACGGAGGACGAGGCGCTGCCCCCACACTGCCCCGTGGACAAGCCGCCACGGCACGCCCCCCCGCCACTGCCTGAGGCTGCTGTGGCCGGGAAGCGGCCGCCCCCGTACCAGTGGGACCCTGTGCTGGGGGAGGACGTCTGGGTGCCTCAGGAGAGGACAGCACAGCCTGCGGTGCCCAACCCCCTGAAGCTGCCCCCCCTGGTCGTAGGTCAGAGCCAGCACCTGGACGTGTCCCGAGTGCCCTTCATCTCCCCCAAGTCTCCCGCCAGCCCCACTGCCACTTTCCAGACGGGCTATGGGATGGGAGTGCCCTACCCTGGAAGCTATAGCAACCCCCCGCTGCCAGGAGTTCCGGCTCCCTGCTCCTCAAAAGATGCCCTGTCCCCCACACAGTTTGCACAGCAGGAGCCCGCCGTGGTCCTGCAGCCGGCCTACCCTCCCAGCCTGGCCTACTGCACCTTGCCCCCCATGTACCCCGGAAGCAGCACATGCTCAAGTTTACAGCTGCCATCCATCGCCTTGCACCCCTGGAATTCCTACAGCGCGTGCCCGCCCATGCAGAACCCCCAGAGCACCCTCCCCCCCAAGGCACACTTGGTGGAGAAGCCCCTCGTGTCCCCACCACCCCCCAGTGACCTCCAGAGCCACCTGGGCGCAGAGGTGATGGGAGAGACCTCGGACAACTTCCAGGAGGTGCTCTCCCTGACGGAGAGCCCCGTCCCCCAGCGGACAGAAAGGTTCGGGAGGAAGAACCGGAAGCGCCTGGACAGCCGGGCGGAGGAGGGGAGCGTCCAGGCCATCACTGAGGGCAAAGTGAAGAAGGAGGCGCGGACCCTGAGTGACTTCAATTCCCTCATCGCCAGCCCCCGCCTGGGCAGGGAGAAGAAGAAGGTGAAGAGCCAGAAGGACCAGCTCAAGTCCAAGAAGTTGAACAAGACGAACGAGTTCCAGGACAGCTCGGAGAGCGAGCCGGAGCTGTTCATCAGCGGCGATGAGCTCATGAACCAGAGCCAGGGCGGCAAGAAGGGCTGGAAGAGCAAGCGCAGCCTGCGCACGGCCAGCGAGCTGGACGAGTTCAAGTGCCGGAAGGCCAGCGAGCGGGAGGACGGGCGGCTGGGCAGCCAGGGCTTCGTGTACGTGATGGCCAACAAGCAGCCCCTCTGGAACGAGGCCACCCAGGTGTACCAGCTGGACTTCGGGGGGCGCGTGACCCAGGAGTCGGCCAAGAACTTCCAGATCGAGCTGGAGGGGCGGCAGGTAAGGGTGTCCTCGGGCTGGCCAGAATCGAGATTTCTCATGGGTATTTAAAACCAGGGGAAGGGGCTCGGTGCTTTGGCCTTAGAGGAGCATTTTCCAAAGCATTTTCCGTGAAATGTGGGAGCCACTGAGCCTCTTAGATGGGGCCAGTTCTCCCCACTCGGCCCCCCGCTGTTCTTAGCCAAAACAGTAGTCACCTGGTACCTTGTTATGCCAGCAAATGTTTGACAGCTGAGCCACATAGTAGGGTTTCATTACATTCCCTTTTTTATTGTATGGGTTTGTTTTTTCCTAGACATAATTACCCAGTTGTGTGTGTGTTTATTATATTTTATTGATTTTTTACAGAGAGGAGGAGAGAGGGATAGAGAGCTAGAAACGTCGATGAGAGAGAAACATCGACCAGCTGCCTCTTGCACACCCCCCACCGGGGATGTGCCCGCAACCAATGTACATGCCCTTGACTGGAATCGAACCTGGGGCCCTTCAGTCCGCAGACCGACGCTCTACCACTGAGCCAAACCGGTTTCGGCTACCCAGTTGTGTTTGTTGGTTTATTTCTGCATGTATTTATTGCTAAGTCATTCCCCAGTCCTCTGGCAGGATGTAAATCTCCTTTCAATGCAGTTAAACTCAGTGGGTAATTTGACAGTTCTTTCTGCTTCAGCCCAGAATGCTGGCCCTAGCCATGCTGCATAGCTGTTGTGCTGGGACGGTGGTTGGCAAACCGCGGCTCTTGAGCCTCATGTGGCTCGCGAGCCACGGTTTGCCGACCACTGTGCTGGGACAACCCTTCTCCACTATCCTGGGAGTTCCCTTCACCTCTCATTATTTAAATCCCATTTTCATTCATTCACCCAATGAATATTTATTGAGCACCTGCTATATGCCTGGCTAGCTTCCAAGCAAGGAGTTGGCAAACTGTGGCCCACGGGCCAATCTGGTCTGCTTCCTGTTTTCATAAATACATTTTATGAAATGTAAGTACAGAAATTAAAGCAGTGAGGTAAACAGAAAGGCCCTAGCCTCACGGAGTCTACAAAAATGGAAGAAAGAAAGAATAAAAAACAGTCGAAACCTGTTTGGCTCAATGGAGCCAAAGCGTTGGCTTGGGGACTGAAAGGTCCCGGGTTCGATTCCAGTCAAGGGCATGTACCTTGGTTGCGGGCATACCCCCAGTAGGGGGTATGCAAGAGGCAGCTGATCGATGACTCTCTCTTATCGATGTTTCTAACTCTCTATCTCCCTTCCTCGCTGTACAAACTCAATAAATATTTTTTTAAAAAAAGAAAATAAAAAACATGTAATGTGACAGTTATGTAATGGTCACTGCAAGTACAGAAATGACACAGGAAAGCAGGCTGGGAGGTGAGCATGATGGGAAGGAGGTGTGCTGTGTTCATCCCTCTCTGAGCAGTGACGTTTGACAGTTACAATCGATGTTCCTCTTAAGCCTATTGCAGCCGATAGATTCTTCTCTCTACGCTCTCCTGTCTGTTGCCTTGGTGAGGAAACCACTTCAGTTGACCCGTGAAGCTTCCCACGCCCTGACTTTTGCCCACTGTCTCTCCACTGCATTGCTTAGCATGTTCCTCCATTCCTTTGTTTCTGACAAACTCACAATCGGAAGCCTACCAGAGTCACTTTTGTTGACAAAAATATCTCCTAGACCGTGCTGCTGCCTCCATGAGGAGCCGCAGGCCTGGATGCCTGTCCAGCTTGTCTCCTAATGTCTTGGCTTCGATGCCTCCCTCCAGGTGATGCAGTTCGGCAGGATCGATGGCAATGCGTACATTCTGGACTTCCAGTACCCCTTCTCGGCTGTGCAGGCCTTCGCTGTGGCCCTGGCCAACGTGACGCAGCGCCTCAAGTGAAGAGACCGGCTTGGGGAGCAGAAAGCGCCCGAGGAGCCTTTTCAGAGAGATCTGATCGAGGATGGTAGAGAGCCCACAAGGGCCTCGGGGCCTGGGGACCAGAAGACAAGAGCAAACTGGAAAAGTCTGCCAGGCCCAGGAGAGGGCACAGACCGTTAGCGTTGTCGTTTGGGCTTTTGTTATTCTTTATTATCTTTCTTTTTAATCAGACAAAACAATACAGGAGAGGTATCTGGAAGCAGAGACCAGGCACCTGGTGTTTTTTTGGAACCATAATTGATGGTGGTAATGTGTCACTGGGCCTGCATATGTCAGCTACACACAACGGGTCCTTCAGAAGGAAGACAGACTGCATTATAGCCCGCTATTCTTTTAGACGTATGGAGTATGCCTTCTCATCCTCCACAGCATCACTAGTGTGCAATCAAAACCTTTCTTTAAGAAACACACCCAAAACCCTGAAGGTACAGGTTCTCTTGAGGGACAACATTTGATTCATACATATTAATGTTACTCCCCTAAAGGTGACTTGATCAATGAAGGGTATTTTGGCAAACGCACTGTTTGGCTAATAAAAGTGGGCTTTCTATAGGTGCTGTTACCAGGTGGGAATAGGCTATGCTCCTGATGATGTAGGGGAAGGGCTGAGGGGCGAGGAGGAAAATCCTGCACAAGCACACGTGGCGAGTGTGACTTGAAATAGTACAAGGGCTCTGCTCCCCTCTGGAGGATGTTGACACTGAAGACGCCACTAAGCTTTGTAGCATGTCCTAATCCATGGGATCGGTGTGGCTGGCTTGGGGGGAAGGGAGGAGAGAGACATGGCAAGGTCCCAGGGCGCGGTGGGGCTATGGTTTCCTCGGCGGGAGCCGTGGCGAGTCCTGGGTTCCCCTGGCTGAAAAGTAGCATTTACTCCCCCTCCTCGTTTGTTGCTGAATCTGAAATGTGACCGAAGACGTCTGACGGGAAGGATGACAACACTCTTCTACACTCCCTTTTTCTAAAGATGCTAACGATGCTGATTGGAAAACACTCCTCTCTCAGCTGCATTAAATTTCACTTGACTAGAAATGTGTTTCCACAGCTTAGAAATGGAGGCAAACATGTGTAAGCATTTGCTGGGGTATGAAGGGGTATGCTGTGGTCATCTCTTGCACAGAAGTCCCGGCTGTCTTCTTCAGGAAAACAGTTGTTTGTTAACTGTGCAGACTGTTGTAGAGGTGAACCTCTGGCACAGCATGGGTAAAGTTGTATTTACGGTAGTTTCTGGTTAATTGCAGAAGAAAAATCCACTGAGATCTTTTCCCACCTCACCCTGTCCTCCGCGGACACCCTGGGCAGTGTCCAGCCCTGGTGGCCAGACCCAGTGCACTGTTCTCAGCTGTTCGCATCTGTGATGTGTCTAGGGCAGGAGCACAAGAACTACCCTATGTTTGGATTCTGTTTGAAAACAGAAAAATGGAAAACTACAGGAAATTATGTTTTTTATTTTATTTCCATGTTTTAGTGTTGAAATGTGTTTTTAATTCCCTGTTTTGGTTTAAAATTAGAAAAGAAATTGTCCCATTCCTTCCTCAGAACAAGAAGACATCCACATGCACCGCCCTCTCCATCCCCACAGAAACGCAGATAAGGAGGTAATCATGGCGAAGGCATCTCCAAGCCGGGACCATCTGACATTTCAAAATAGTGAACCTGACAAAAAGAATTTAGTCTTGTGTTCATATTTAATTCTTTTATGTGAGGTTTTGTAGCTTGATACGATGTTTCAGTGGTTATTATTAGTTGTGCAATATGGTTATAGCCTATTTCTAAAATAATTTAAATGCAATTTTCTGTTTTATTGCCCAAGAGATCATTATTTATCTTGCTTTAATAGTGTTCTTAGGAACTACTTTACTACTCTTTACTGGTGAGTTATGCCCATTTTATAATTTACTTAGAAAAACAGAATGTAACGACTTACTTGGTAGCAGTATATTTTGCTGCAAGAAATAAAAAAGTTGTGATGGGGGGTTTACTGAACAATGTAACTTTTTCCAATTGGGGAAAACATTTCTATTAATCCTTTAAGAGTAATTTTTTCTTTGCATTTTGAGGTAGTGATTATATATGAGATAACATATCCTAAAATATTACCCCTTCTTTTGAAAACTTTATTTTTAATTAAAAATAAAAGGTGATTTGAAATGAGAAGAGACTTTTTAGAATTAGGATAGGTATCAAAGGAAGGGATTTTTAGTAATAAGTTTTAAAAATTCTGATTGGTTTTTGAGATATAAAGACCATGAAATGGGGTACTTTTTAGAACTTCTCTCAATACGAGAAAATATTGAGAGAAATCCTTGGAATTAATGCTACAAATACATCTGTAAAAAGAATGTATTGTAGCAAATAATTCTTGGACCACTCCTCAGAGGGCGTTTTCCCTCAGCAGCCTCCCTCCTGGATGTTTTGCACATGTAGTGAGTAGTGAGCCTCTGCATTAGCGCTGCTCTGCTCCCCCGGCCCAGGAGCAGGTGATTTCAGGTGCCAGGTCTACTTACACAGATGTCTGCAGCAGTGTGCTGTCTTCTAAGCAAATGGCGATGCCTTCACTTATTTTAAAAATTGTTTTCATTCGGTCAGTCTCAATTTGTTAAGTACTACTATAGTCAGTACTTTAGGCAGCAGAATTCTACATACTTTATGTTTATTGGTAGCAATTTATGAATATTAAGATACCTCATTGAATCCCTACATATAAAAATACTAGAGGCCCATTGCAAAAATTCGTGCACCAGTGGGCCCTTTAGCTAACCTACGGGATAGGGCCAAAATTGGCGCTCCTACATCCCCCAAGGGGTCCCGGATTGCGAGAGGATGCAGGCCAGGCCAAGGGACCCCACCAGTGTGCGATCTGGGCCAGGGAGGGACAAAGGAGGTTGTCCAGCCAGGAAGGGGCCACAGGAGGGCTCCAGGACATATCCGACCTGTCTAGGTCAGTCCCGATTGGCTGGACCCCAGCAGCAAGCTAACAAACCAGTCAGAGCATCTGCCTCCTGGTGGTCAGTGCAAATCATAATGAGCGGTTGAGTGGCCTTAGCATATCATTAGCATATTACACTTTGATTGGTTGAACAGATGACTGGACACTTGGCATATTAGGCTTTTATTATATAGGATTAGCCCAGTAAATAGTCAACTACATAAAAACCCATGCCTTTTTGAAGGAAGTAGTGTATTAACAAACAAAATTTTAAATTTGTCTTAACTCTAACCGCATCAAACCAAAGGCATAGATTTGTATACAGTCCATTCACTGAATATATACTTAGGAAAAAAATGATGTAAAGGAGTCAGAGAATGTCAAAGCTTGGATGGTAGTAGATGTCGGGATCATGCAGGTTAGTATTTTTCATCCGAGGCCCTTGCTCCTTGTTGAGTGTCCCATGAGGACATGTGAAAGCATGTATGTTTATCCTGTAATCAGAGCAGGATGTCAGGAGACCCAGGATCAAGCCTGATCTGCCACAGAGTTGGAGGGTGACCGTGGCCTCCACTTGTCCATCTGTAAAATGAAAGGGATGCACTGCACAGTCTGAACTCCTGTCCAACTCTAACAGCCTTAGCGCGCCACTTCGCATATTCGGAAGGTCTGTTTCAGAACATTGCTGTTTGTAGAGATCTTTTCCATCTTAACGGGCTATCTGCTGGATGTAAATCAGGGCATTTTGAGTAATATCTGTAGAAGATTCACCTCTAGAAAAACGCACTTTTCATAAAATTATACAAAAGCATCAATTCCAGATAAGACAGAGGAGCCTTGCTCAGTGGCCACCCTTGGAACTGCCTAAAATAAATCACCACTGGCCCCAAAGACCATGAGTGCATTAGAAAACAAGCAACCAGAAAGTGTAGGCCCTCTTGGAGTCCTGAGACGCTCTGCGCTGTTCAGTGCAGGTTTCGGGGGAAACAGCCCATGTGTTCCTGTGGACATCCATCACTTGGCCAAGTCAACGGTAATTGAGACAAAATGTGTCAAAAATGTTGTTTGAGTTCCTGGGATTTTGTAATAGCACACATCTCAAAACTCTTCATCATTCATGTGTTTTCTTATCTTTGGCTGATAAAACTCTGAAGGGTTGTGGCTTATTTTGTTTTCATTTCTTCGGCTTTGTGCAATTTTCTTGTAACTTGTACCTATATTTTCTGTTTACAAGTTTTTTTTAAAGGGGAGGGATAGGATTCTATGATCTCGTTTATTGTAGATATAAAATTTTTTTTGTGCGTTCTAGAAAAGCATGGGTTACATGTTTGACTGAAAAGGCCACTGTGTTCTTTACCAAAGGGGGGTTGTTTTTGCATTTATTTATAAATGCATTACTTTGGTACTGTAAATTTGGACATAATTTCTGAGTTTATTACTGTCATTTTCTTTCTCCTTTTTTTTTTTTTTTAAACTATAAATGCACGATGCAGGTGCACAGGTCCCAGACCAAACCAGACCACCAGCATGTTCTCGTCCGAACCTGGGAATGGCACACTGCCCCCTGCGCCTCTGTTCCTTGGTGTTGATTTGCTTCACTTCCGCACCCCGCTTTTGTTTTACTTTCCAACCAGTGTCTGTTGAGATGATCAATTGCATTCTAAGGAGCTCACTAATTTGCCTCTCTTCTTAGGTATTTTGTGTATTAGATTGTGAGGGAGGTGTTCTAGAAGGCAGTCATGGTTTGCATTCCAAATGGTGTGGTTTGTCCAAGTTATTTTCTGTCTTTATTACTGAGATGGATTATTCTCCTTATTTTTTCTTGATGATTTGAAGTTGTACGAGTTGTCCAGCTATTGCTTAATAAAATTTTGCAGATCAAAAAAAAAAAAAAATCAGTTGCTGTGTGCAGAAACGTGCCCCAGCCTCCAGTGCTGCTTTGGCCTCCGGTTGATGCCTGAGACATTACCACCAGCGATCTTTCTGAGAGGCCGGGAGCGTGCTGTCTTCCTGGTGAGAGGGTTTGAGTTTG